CCCCGCGGCCTGGGGCGCCCCCCGGCGGCCTGGCCCCTCCGTGCGGCGCTGGGCGTCCTCCTCCCCGCTGACCAGGGCGGCGCCCAGTCCTGTGGCCTCCCCTCCCTCCACGGCCCAGAGCGCCCCCCGGCGGTCTCTCCTCCCCGCGGCCCGAGGCGCCTGGATCCCCGCACGCGGCCTCTCCTCTTCGCCTCCCACCCCGCGGCCTTCCCCTTCCCTGCTGACCACAGCGCCCCCCGGCGGCCTCCCTGCTCCCTGCGGCCCAGGGCGCCTCCCTCGTTGGCTCCCCGCTCCCCGCAGGCCAGGGCGCCCCCCCGGCGGTCTTTGGCCCCAATTCGCGGGAAGACCCAAAGTTGTCCACAAATACGGGAGCAGTCCGGGCTGTCTGCACCCGAAAACGCAAAACGTACATAGAATGATGTGTGGCAATGTTTTCCACTTTCATTTCCTACAAAGATGCATTTGATAGGGTGGGACGTGTTACAGCCCCAATCAGGTTAATGCTTCCAAGAATAGTTGAAAAAGCAAAATGCACGCAAAATGACATTCCTCACAACCTGCCCTGAAAAATATACAGCTAAGATGTCAAGTAAAAAATAGTTCTACAGAGGGCATGCATCCGATGCCTTCCTTAAACCAAACTCACGATCTCACACCGCCACAGAAGAAAAGAATCACAGTTAGGATCGACCCTAACATGTGACATCAGGAGCAACGCTTCTCCAGAAAGGACGTAATTGTTAAAAAGAAATAAGTAAAAACTAAACTGGAAAAAGAAAAAGTAGTATTTTGATGATGAATGTTTTAACAAAATTACTCTTTAGCTGATGTTTTCCACCTAATTTAGGTTCTCAGTAAATGAAGTTAAACACTTAGACAGATGTAAAATACATAATACATCTGCGTGAAGATAAGACATCACAAGGGACGTGTGTGAGATGAACCCAGTCTGGGTTTGTATCCTGGCCATGGCCATAACCAACCAAACTAAACTAGAAAAAGAAAAAGTAGTATTTTGATGATGAATGTTTTAACAAAATTACTCTTTAGCTGATGTTTTCAGCTTCACCCTGGCTTGACCCTTGACTTGACCCTGGACAAGTCACCTTATGTGCCTCAGTTTCCTCAACTCTAAAATAAGGATTAAAGAAGTTAATGGTAAAAAGTGGGGAAATTCCTGGCACATAGTCAGGAAATGTTTGCTATTATTATTTAAATATGCCAAATCTTTGCCATATTTTTTAATTGGATGAATTAGAAAATCCATACAGTCCGTTTACACCCAACTCTACTTAGAGTTAGCAAGCTATTCTCCAAAGAACCCTATTTAGGCCATAAAACTTACTACTCTTTGATGGACTTCCACAGTGAATTCTCCTAAAGAAAACAATGGGATAAAAAAATCCTAAAGAGGATGGCAGACTAAGCACTTGGTGAGCACCTCCCATCTAGGAGCTCTTCTAAACGTCCCACCCTTATGAGACACATTCTGTCCTTGTCACATTTGCAGATGTAGAGACTGAGGCAGAGGGCAATTAAGTAATGTGCCTGGACCTTAAAAAACTGGAGAATATGATGAATGCCCATGAACTCAGGCTGCTTGGAGCCAAGGCCAGCGCCTTGGCTGACTACTCATTCTGGCAGTGGAAAGCCTTGGGCTGTCCCAGCCCACTGCGGGTACGCCCATTCTGTCTCCCTTCTACGGAGTGTGATAAGCATGTTATGAGGAAACTTCATTCAAAATTATTGGAAAATTCTCTCCCTTGACACTGAGCTGGAAAAAGTGGGGAGTTAAAGAAATTAAAAGCTTGGCTCAGCGCCTGTGGCTCAAGTGGCTAAGGTGCCAGCCACATACACCTAAGGTGCGGGCTCAAATCCAGCCCGGGCTGCCAAACAACAGTGACAGCTGCAACCAAAAAATAGCCAGGCGTTGTGGTGGCCGCCTGTGGTCCCAGCTACTTGGGAGGCTGAGGCAGGAGACTCGCTTGAGCCCAGGAGTTGGAGGTTGCTGTGAGCTGTGATGCCATGGCACTCTACCCAGGGGGATAGCTTGAGGCTCTGTCTCAAAAAAAAAAAAAATTAAAAGCTTGAGACATTCTCAGATTTCTGAATTTGACCTTTCTCCTCCACCAGATGCAACTTCAACTTCCCTTTCACCTTCAAAATTTTTCTCTAGTTTCCCTTTAGGCTATATCCCAAGATCTGTAGAATCAACTCTACTTGAACCTATAAAAACTTCACTTATGTTGATGACATGGATCCTCTTGAGGATCAAATAGACCAACTGCTACTCTCTGCCACCTCTACCAAGAATATTCAAGTTTTTTTTTTTTTTTTGAGACAGAGCCTCAAGCTATCCCCCTGCGTAGAGTGCCATGGCATCACAGCTCACAGCAACCTCCAACGCCTGGGCTCAAGCGAGTCTCTTGCCTCAGCCTCCCAAGTAGCTGGGACTACAGGCACCCGCCAGAACACCCGGCCATTTTTTTGGTTGCAGCCATCATTGTTATTTGGTGGGCCCAGGCTGGGGATTCAAACCCGCCACCTTAGGTGTATGTGGCTGGTGCCTTAGCTGCTTGAGCCACAGGCGCCGAGCCAATATTCAAGTTTTGATCTGACAATTTCCTCCCTATTTTACCACCACCACCCCACCCCACCTGAGTGAGGACCCCAGTCAGAAACACTACTCCAAGAGACAGAAGGCACACAAGCTTCTCCTGAATGGGGCAATCTGAGCTCCCGCTAAACACCCTATAGAAATCAACATTGGGCACCCATCACCAGAAAAGCCACAGTTCTCCAAGTTTACTTTCAACTTCCTCACTTTTGCATTACCTTTGACTTAAATAATTGCACACATAAATAACATTTACACATAAACAACATGTTTTTGTGTGTGTGAAAGCCAGACTAGACTGAAGGTGGTGGCTCATGCCTGTGATCCTAGCACTGTGGGAGGCTTACATGGATCTACTGTGCTTAGGAGTTCCAGACTAGCCTGAGCAAGAGCAAGACTCTGTCTCTACTAAAAATAGAAAAACTAGCAAGGCGTATGGCAAACACCTGTAGTCCCAGCTACTCAGGAGGCTGAGGCAGGAGGATCTCTGCAGCCCGGGAGTTTGAGGTTGCTGTGAGCTATGACACCACAGCACTCTACCAGGGTGCTAAGATTCTATCTTGAAAAAAATTAATAAATAAAAACCAGACAAAATGCAGCTTTCTAATCTCCCAGAATATCTGGTCCGTAATTTTGAAAATAGTGGCGGTTAAAAAGTACTGGTTGCACAGTACCTAGGGAGTAATATCACACTGTGTGTTGAAAGCAGAATTAGATCACATAATTGTCTATAACTTCCTGCTCAAAATTTTTGGGTGATTGCCCATTGCATATTTTAGGGTTCCCTAA